TTGGTGTAAAGATCACTAAATTCAATCATATTCTTCTTGCTTTCATTGAAAAGTTTATCAAAATATCATATCCATCTATATTGAATATTCTCTTTGAAGTAAAATATATAATTTTTTTTCATCTTTCATGCCCTTCACATGAAATAACATTTATTTCTCCTATCTTTTTGTTTGACAAACTTATAGATACATCTTTTGTTCTTCTTAGTATCTAATTTATTATATAAATCAATAAAAACTAAATCCTTTGCATCAAATACTACTTTTCTAAAATTTCTACAGGTCTCTCTATATCTTTACTAATTTTTTAGCATGTACACCTAAAGTGCTTTTTTATAATAAAGCTTCTTATTTATCTTTTTTACTCATTTTGATTTTACCACTAGCTATTTTTAGTATTTCTCCAACCACATACTTTACAGTATTTTGTATAACATTTCTCATGCAAAACCTAAATCTTAAGATCTTGAATTTTACTCTCAAAAATATTTTATTAATGTTCTTTAAATAACTCCATCCAATAGTACTATGGTAAATTTTACTTTTTTTTTTACCTTTTCCTCTTAAAGTTCAAAAATAATAAGTGATGTTGGGTATAAAAATAATTAGTTGGAATAACTTTAAATATTTACAACCTAAATGATCTATATTTAAAAAATAATAATAATAACACATGAGATGCTACACTCTCTTTTTTAAAAAAGTATTAACAATTAGGAAATCATAAGCTAAAATAAAATATAAAATGATCTTATCACCTTCATTGTTTAGTATATATCCAAAACTAACAAAAATAATTTTAAGAGTTTTACCATTCTATCAATATGTCCATTTAAATCTCTTCAAATAAAAACTCTTTCTTCAAGTAATATCATTTAAATTAATTTCTTAAGCCATTTTAAAATTTTATTTTTGAACATACTTTCAAAGCTACTTGAAGAGCTTTTTTTAATAAAAACTAAAAAGGGCCTACACGTTAATCAATAAAATGATACAAGTACATAAAAGACAAAGAGCTCGCTAATGCTCCTAAGAGCAACAATAAAGGAGGTATGAGAAACATAATGAACCAAAAACCAGACTACAAAACAAAGAGTAAATCAAAATACAATAGTAGAAGATGAAAAGATCCAAAGATTCGGGCTTAGGAAAGAGGCCTCGCACACCCACCCCCAACCCAAGCAAGGCCCTTCCATTGGAAACTACAAACCATGATCCAAAACCAGTAATAAAAGCCCACAAAAGTCTCCCAAACCATAAGATTAATGACCACCAAGGTTGCCAGCAAGCAAGGGCCCAAGTGGTGGCACACAAAAGCCTCATCATCATTGCCAGATGAGGCAAACACAACCCCAACAGAGACAATCGCCACAATAGACCACAAGTAGTAGAAGAGGACACCATCGACGAAGAAGAAGAAATAATAGCCAATCCAAACCATTAGGGAAATTTATTTTTAGATTTACATTTTTTTCCTACTAATTCTTGTAGAAAAACCAACGTCCGCAATTTGAAGAATGCTCATATCAAAGTTATCCCTAGAGTCTAATACTTTCTCAACAAATTCCTCCACATCAGCAAAGGAAAAGTCAACATTCAACATGTCACCATGCATGACCTCAAAATCGGTCGCATTACAAGTAAGGTGAGCTAGAAAGGCATCATCAGATAAAATTGATATGGGAACATCAATCACGCCCAAATTTTCCTCCATGGGATCATCACCCCTAGGTAAAGAAGCACTAGCATGCATACAACAATTACTCCAACCCACAAATAATGCACATTCATGGTCTCTAGGGTCCAGCAGAACTGAATCATCACAAGAACTAATTTCACCATCACTGACACCAACATTAGAATTTGGAGGTAAGATAGGACTAGTAGACAAATTAAGTAAGCATTGGTTAGGCTCATAATCCTCAACAACCTCCTTTTTAAGTCCATAAGAAAGAGCCTCACAAGCTTCAACACCATCCTAAAAAATGCCACAGGAAGGAGCAACCGACGAAGCAGACATAACAGCCCCCTCTAGAACAATCGTAAGAGGGTTCAAACCGACTAGCATAATATGAGGCACACTTATAGGAACATTCAAAAGCACTTGATTCGTGTCCTTAACAACAACATCATCAACATGATCACAATTCACAAATTGTTTTGACACCAACTCACCTTGGGCCACCCTTACCGAATCATTGACTGGAACATCAAGGTCTTTTCAGGCCAGATTAATAGCAACAGTCCCCTCCTTTACAATATTAGCTGCATTTAAGTTAAGAAATAAAATCGGACAACCATCCTTCAAATGACCCAAGGTTTTGCAATGAAAGAAATACGAAAGAAATTCTTCCATTTCAACTAATTGAGTGTATCCCATAGACTCAGTACCGATCCAAACTTGAGAAGTATAATTTTTGATAACATCTAATTCCACAAGTATGCGAGCCACATATTGCCTATATCCATTAATTATTGCATTATCCGATCTCAAAGGTCTTCCAAACAGAGACCCCCATCCATGAAGAATGCGGGTGGAAATAATTAGGGTGTAGACAGGGAAAAGAGATCCAAATGGGTACAATAGGGACTCCACAGGAATATCAAAATGGGGAGTCCACTTAAAAAGCTTCATGTAGGAATTGCTAATGAAATATGAATGGTGAGAAAAAAATCCTACAATAATCTAAATCTTTTGCAAGTTTAATCAGCACATTTTTAGAGTTTAAAATAGTAATAGAAAATGCACCACAAAGCCTCAAATAGAAAAAACAAATTGCGAATATTATCGGGGGGGGGGGCTACAGCCCGAAAACTTCCCGACTAGGGTAAACTCAAAAGGTGCAACAAGTAATAACAATTCCTCCTCCAAAATCAGTAACGCAGGTAAACCATCGTGTGAAGAAACTTTGAGTGGAGGGAAGTCAGGCGAAGGCGATACACCCGACAAAGCATCGTGAAAAGACCTAAATTTTTTGCATTCCATCTAAGAACCCAGGGTCCCTGAATTAATCAACAACCATAAAGACTAAAATAGCAAGAAAAAAGAGGCATTAAGGAAGGAAGGACCAACCGAGACAGCAATAAGGGAAAACCCTAGAGATGGCGACGAGAGCGTGAGCGAACTCAGAACCTCCTGACCCAAATCACAGAGCTGGCCAGCATATGTTGGGCCAGGATGCGACGTGCCAACTAAGGCAGAGGGAGCTCTGCCTGCACTGCTCGACGCATCACTATGAAGCCTCAGCAAGTGGTCATCGCGGCGAACTCAATGGCCATCCACGCCACCATAAAAAAAATGGGTAAATCAAATGCAACTTAGAGTTTAATGGGAAGATCGGTTGAGTTCGATGGTGAGTTTGAGCTCCGCCAAACCACCGCTGATTCAGATTCGGCCAAAGAAGAAAGACAAAAGTTGGTCGAATGAGAAATTAAAATGTTGAAGAGCATAAATACTTATAATAATAATAATTTAGGCATGAAGAATAATCTCTAATTATATTAATTTATTTGTCATTTTCTTTTAAATGATTATTAAAATCACACTTACATCATCTCAATATAACTCATACCTGGAATAATAATGATTAAATCTTAAACTATTAATAACTTTAGTCTTTTACCCAACCCATTTAATTTCTTGAATACATAAATATTTATTTTCCTATGAACAAAATTAGAGCAGCCTATATAAACAAAAATAGAGCTTATATACAAGGTTGAATGATGGAGCTGTTAGCGAGCTGCAACTTGGATCTCCTAAATCGAGCTTCTAACAATTGCAACAAGACCGGCGATTAGTCTATTAGAAGTAGATAGCCATTATAATTTTGAGAGGAATTTTACTACTTATTTTTTTGAGACTTATGCATCCTTTGGGACAATTTTGTTACCGTTCTTTAAATTAGTTTTCTACTATAAAAATTTCTTTAAAATAATAAAAAAGAAGTAGGCAATGGCTGTCCCAAATGAAACCACAATATGTACGTCGGTAAATACTATTGGGAACAATCAGTATATATGATCGTAAATTAATTTATAACCTCTTATTGCACGGCCAATATTATGAGAATATTAAAGGTCACAGACTAACAAAGACCACTTTACGATAAGCATTAGTCCATTTTGTAGCCCGTAAGTTGAATGAAATTAAATAAGAATTCTGTAGAGCAATATGCACATTGAAGACTTATTTAACTATCACTTATCAGACTCAAATCAATTACTGAATCATACGAAAATTGATCACAAGTTCACAAGCATTAAACATCAAACTGAATACTCAACATACCTTGGAATTGAAAATTAATTAAACTCCTAACAAAAGTACTAATTAAAAAGTCAAAATTCAATTGCACCATCACGCTTTAGTTTATTTTAATAAATTCTTGAATAACTTGAGAACAAGCTATATCAAGTAAATTTTAATAACTAAGATAAAATTCACTTATCAAGTACACCGCAAATTTAGGCTTTGTTACTGTTTTCTATGGCAGTTGTTTAGTACAATTTTTTTTTTCAAAAAAATAAAAATAAAATGTTATTTTATAAAGCAATACGAAAGCTATCCCAAATGAAATCCTAGACTTCTTTTGAAATTGTTTTTTTACTGTTTTGCTTTTCATACAACTATAATTTATGGTTGGCTAGAACTTAGTTGCTCATTTCAAAAAAAATTTTGAGCTACGAAGCTGCTTTATATCTCTACTTTAAAAAGAAGCTATTTTCCCTAACAACATTTACAAAATAGCCACAACAATTCCAAATGAGCCATTCATATTATGCTTGTCTTCAAACAAAAAAAAAAAAAAAGAGATGAGACATCAAATTAAAACACAAACTAAAAATAGAAAAGATGAAAATTATATTTTAGAATAAATTTTTTATCTCTAAGAACCCTCATGAATCACGCATTAGTTATATCTTTCTAATGACTTTAAACATTTTGTTATTTAAAATCTATATATAAAGTCCCTCTTGATTACTTACGGCATTATTCAAGCAATATAAGAAATCATTTTATGCATGTCACCTTTGGGCAGGGCCATGCTAATCTTCTTTGTATCGTTCCAATACAAAAAATCAATGAGACTTAGCTCAATCCCTCCCCCCAATATAATTACCTAAATTAAGTTGTGGAAATCCTACATTTGCTAAATACCTAAAGTTGTGGACATCCTACAAATGCTCAAAACTTCTGCCTTCCTCTCTTCCTTGAGCTTTAGAGAAGCTACAATTACCTATTTGTCAATAAATTTGATCTTTCCTGTGTTTTTCTCCATCTTTTATGCATAAATTCTTACAAGTTTATTATTAAATTAATAATTGCTTTCTATCTTGACGTGTAAAACTGAAATCAAAAGCCACTCAAGTTCCATTGAAAACTACATCGCAAATAACTTTAAAGAACAAGCAATCAATCCAATGATGAGGTCGAAGCCGAAGACAACAGAAACTGAAAAACTGCTTTAGAAGAACTCAACTAAGATAAAATGCATAGCGTAGAGCAGAAGTTTTATTTCTTGCCAACCCTTCTCACTAGAACAGTGAAGCTTTTATAGAGAAGCATAGCCTATACCTGGAATCATACGGTTATAACAGACTGGTACTGGAGAATGTGAGCATTACCTCTGCACCACCGGACCGCCTTTTGTAATATTTTTCTGAATTTCTGCTTTTATATCTTAACAGAGTAAGGAAAACAATATTGAAGATCAAGAAAGAAGTGTTGTAGCTCTGATTTTTATTCATCTGTTATTACATGTATAGGATAGGTATTTATAGAAGGTGTTAAGAATGCTCTAGAAGTACATTTGTAATCATATGATTGGTCAAGATGATGAGCTGTCCATAGCTGAAGGTATACATGCATTGCTGTGATTGGCTAATGCTGATGCAGTCTTGCTGTACTGACAGTTATTTCAGGTAATACTATTACTTCCCCTCAAGCTGATGGTCCGGAGCTGACCGTAAGCTTGTCCCTTAGAAACTGAAATTTGATGGTAGAAAGAGGTTTGGTCAGGATATCTGTAAATCGATCTTGTGTAGTAATCTGAACAATGCGAATAGTTTTAGATTGAATATGATCCCAAATGAAATGTTGATCAATTTCAATGTATTTTGTTCTTGAATGGAAAAGGGTATTGTTTCTCAAAGATATAGCCGATGTGTTGTCACACTACAAATCCGTTGAAGTTGTAAGATTAATTTTTAAATCCTGCATCAATTTTCTTAACCATGTAATTTTAGTTGTTGCCACCGCCAGAGCTCGGTATTCTGCTTCAGTTGAAGAACGCGCAATAGTTTGTTGCTTCTTTACACTCCATGAACGAAGTGTGTTGCCTAGAAAAATGCAATGCCCTATTGTAGATTTCCGAGTTTGTTTCTCACTTTCCCAATATACATCTAAATATGAGTAATGCTCAAGTTGTCCTTGTGTAACAGAAAGACCATAGTTTATTGTTCCTTTGATGTATCTTAGTAGCTTCTTTAGTATGTATATATGATATGAAGAATGATTGTGCATGTATTGACAAAGAACGTTGACAGTGTAAGCAATGTCCGGTCATGTTATAGTTAGGTATTGCAATGATCCTGTTAGTTGCGGGTAAGTGTGTGGATAGGAAAGCAACTGATCCAGTGCAGCATTCAACGATGACTTTGTACATATAGGATTAGAAAGTATCATGCAGTTGAGTAAACCTACACTTCAAAGTATAAAAGTTGCATAGGTGGATTGAGGCATAAAGTAGGAGTCTTTCTGTTGGTGATTTGAATACCCAAAAAATTTGCTATTGTCCCAAGGTGCTTCATAGAAAATTTCAAATTAAATTGATTATGAACATGTGTTATCATAGTAATGTTATTACTGGTTATGAGAATATCATCCACATAAATGATCAAGTAGATTTGGATATTATATTTGTGGAATATGAATAGAGATGAGTCAGCTTTTCCTTAATGAGACCTGATTGACTTCAAGTGATTAGAGAACATCTTAAACCATTGCTTGGGTTCCCGTTTGAGACCATATAGGGATTTACAAAGAAGACACATGTAATCTGATTGCATTATATCCTCGGTTGAGTCATATAGATGTCCTCATCATGGTTGCCATGAAGGAATGTGTTAGCTACATCAAGTTAATGAATTGGCCACTTGTAGAATAGAGCTATGACAATTTGAGCCTGAATGGTAAGAAATTTAGCCACCAAACTAAATGTTTCAGAATAGTTGATCCCATACTCTTGATGATTTCCATGAGGTACTAGTCGGGCTTGAAATCTTTCCACTGAACCATTAGAATGTCATTTGGTTCTAAAGGTCCGTTTGCACCCTAGCATTGGCTTGTCATGAGAAGGAGTTAGTAAAATCCATATACCTTGCTACTGTAAAGCCAAAAACTCATCAACCATTATTGTTTCCAGTGAGAAGATTTAACTGCTTTAGTGTAGCTTGTAGGATCGGAGTGATCTGAACCAATGTCCCTTTCTTGTGAGTGTAATAGATTGAGAATTTTTCTAGGCTTTAGATATCCAGTCTTTAGTCTAGTGATCATGGGATGACTTGCTGGTGGATTATTAGGAGCTGGTGGAAGGAACTGTTCAGGTACATTATTGGATGGTGAATTGGATGTAGGTCGGATGTTGATTTGGGACGTGTCAGTGGATTGTTAGTGACTGGAATGATGTATATCATGATCGATATTGTTAAATGTTGGACTAAGTAGTCTTGGGAGTGGAAAAGAAGATGATACAGATTGATTGGTAGTCGAAGTTGTTTGAGTAGATTGGAAAGGAAAGATGTTTTCATCAAAGAAAACATGGAGAGATGTGTAAATTTGGCATGTTTTTTTATCAAAGGCATTTATATCCCTTTGAAGTAGATGAGTAGCCAATGAATACATATGGTATAGATTTAGGATCAAGTTTGTGATGTTTGTTTGGTGGCATACACAGGAGACAGGCACATCCAAAAGTTTTTAGGCTAGAATAGTCGAGTTGTATTCTATGAAGGATTTGAATGGGAGATTTGTTGTAAGTGGATCTGGATGGCTAGGCGTTTATAAGAAACGAGGCTGTAAGGATAGATTCTGGCCAGAGTTTGAATTGGAGGTGGTCTTAGTTCCAAAGTGTACATGTAGTTTCAATCAAATGGAGATGCTTTCTTTTAGCCAACCCATTTTGTTCTGGCGTTTAAGGACATGATACTTGATGTTGTATACCATGTTTTCTAAGAAAATTCTGCATTTTAGAATTTACATATTCCCTGCCTCCATCAGAATGTAAGATTTTGATTTTATATGGCAATTGGTTCTCAATTAGAGTTTTAATTTTGATGAAGATAGTTACCACATTTGATTTGTTTATCATTGGGAACATACTTGTAAATCAAGAAAAATCATCTTTGAATACCACATAGTACTTGAACCTTTGATGAGATATAACTGAGGAAGCTCCCCATTTATCAGAATGCAGTAGTTTATGATGATGAGCTGTACTCGATGTAGATCTAGAAAAAGAAAGTTTATGACTTTTGGAAGCCATACAATCATGACATGCAAATTAAAAACAGGAATATGAAGCTGCTTGTGTTTATTAGATATTGTCCTGAGTGTTAGATAATGGGGATTTCCTAGTTTTTTATGCCAGATTGATGACATTTGCTGAGTAGGGGTCAAGGAATGGTGTGTTGTTGTTAAGACTGAATATAAGCCCTTATAGCTTGGTCCCTTGAGAAGAACTTGATGTGTCGACAAGTCCTCTATAACAAAACCATTAGCATAAAAAACATGGAGATATTATTGTCCTTCGTTGGAGCCGAAATAGATAAGAGGTTGTAAGATAATTGAGGAATGTGTAGATGTTGAGCTAACCGTAGCTTACTGTGAGGTGTTGGTAAGATCTCATAACCTGAGTGAGCAATTGGAATGGTTTTACCCTCCCCAATTGTGATGTTGTCCAATCCATTGAATTGAAGTGGTTGATGTAGACTATCAAGGGAGTTTGTTAGATGAGAAGATGCTCCCGAATCTAAATATCAATTAGGATTAGTTTGTTTTTTTGTGGCCACCATGGCTTTTGAATCAGATTCCTGCAGATTTGATGTTGTTGATGGAGTGTATTTGAGGTTTAAGCTATGCCAGCATGCAGCTGCCGGGTGCCCTTTCTTGTTACTGATTTGACATGTAGGAATATTGATTGATGATGCTCTAGCTTGTGACTGATAAGATCTTCCTCTTCCTCTAAGGCCTCATCCACGAGAGGAATACAAAGTAGCAGAGGAGCCTGTAATTGATATATTCTTGAGAGATTCAGTTTGGATATTAATCTCTTCAGTTAGAAGAAGAGAGTACAAGTCATCTACACTTGTTGGTTGAAGATTGGTACGTATTGAGGTTTTAAAAGCTTGATATGATGGAGGAAGTTCATTAAGTGTATACTTGATAATATCTTAATTGAGCTCCTGCCGCCTCTATTTTATCAACCAAGACTTTGATCTCAGTAAGATATTGATTCATGGATTGATTCTTCATGGCTATGTTGTGCAACTCATTCTCGAGTTGAGTTACCCTTGATCTATTAGTGGCTTGTAAACTACGTTCTATGGTACTCCAAATAGATTAACAAGAATCATGATTAATGATATAGGGAAGAATTGATGAAGATACCGTGGAGCAAATTGCGGCTTCTATATTATAATTGATCAGAGTCCACTTCGTATATTAAGGGTTCAATGTTGTGCTGCCATTTGAGGACTTGATTAATCTGTCCGGCCGAGTGTTTGAAGGAAGAATAAAGTTTAAAAATCCGTTTTTCTTGAGAAGTTTTAGGATTTGAGACCTCCATATGGAATAGTTCTCACTCGAGAGTTGAGTAGGATATGATCTATTGTGCGTTTATTAGATATTACGAATTTGAGAGAATTTGGAATTGCACATCCGGTTGTTGTGGCCCGTTGTGTTTGTTCGCCGATCTTAGACAAGGAAAAAGATTGCGCAAGGGAGTAGAAAGGAAGAAAGAGCTTCATTGGGAAGAAGAAAGAAAATTCTCTTTATGTCTCTAATACCATAAAGAAAACTAAATTGAAGATCAAGAAAGA